CAGAATTCATCGGCTTTACTCGCACCAAATCTTTTTGACGCTCCTGAGGGTCAGGCGTTCTTAAAACGCTGGACCCCCTGGATGTATATGGACTTCGATTGAGACCAGATACATCCAGTCGGTCCCCCCTGGATTGTATATGGACTTCGATTGAGACCAGATACATCCAGTCTGGTCTCAACCTAAGCCCATATACATCCAGGGGGTTATTAATAATGACTTCATTCTGGTCATCTGCTGTCATCTGGATACAAATTCGGGTCTGTATGTCGGCAACTCACTGGTGTACCAACTGAGCTGTAGGCTCATTGGTTAGCAGAGTTGGCAATACCCCTGAGAGGGTCTCTACTCGCACCAACCCTAACAGCTCGAGCGGGGGATCGAATCCACACCCCGTCCACGAAGGGCGAGAGAGAAAGACAGTTCGGTATCGTTCGTCCCCTGACACAGGATCGAATCCAGACAATATATTTAAGGCAGGTCCTTACGGCAGGAGGATGAGGGGGGGAGACGTTATATATGCATCGCAAAGAGTAATTTTTTGCTAGTGGAGGACACGACAGGTAGATGAGAAAAGTACATGATTAGCAACAATTCTCAAGATAGATCGGGGAGAGGGAATGACAAAGACGCTCCAGTCTCCTTGCATAACGTTGGCTTCCCCTTCGTAAACGTACCAAGGCAGAGATAAGAGATTTGAGAGGTACACAGAGAGAGCCGGAGGTGAACGAACTACATCGATGAAACTTCCTCCTTATCCTTCTTCTTGAGCTGAGCTGAGTTTCAGACAACCGTCCTAACCATCACCAGGTAAGAGTCCCGTCCGTACTAGTGCAATAATTAGCCCATTATCATCTCTAGAACAGCTGCCAAGTGCATATTTTCATCACCTACGGTTGTCCTTCAACACGACCACTTTACTAATCCCTGCTTGCGGGCACTCTCTCTCTCTCTCTCTCTCTCTCTCTCTCTCTCACACACACACACACACACACACACACACACACACACACACGCGCAGCCATCTGTCAACACAATGGATCGCAAATGAGCGCCGTCAATGGTACTACGTAGAGGGGCGAGGAAAAACGACCAACAAGAAATCAACCTGGACAAAATGCCTGAGAGGGAATTCTTCCACCCACGCCACGTGGCATCTCTCGTGTGCCGCAGATATTTCACCAAACGGACACTCACACACATGTTAGAATAAACCCAACTGCTTCTCCCAAGCCTAGGAGTGGGTTTCGCGATGTGCTCTCTACTCCCGAGCTGAAATGCGTCCTTTACGCAGCAAACAATAGCCTACCTTTCCCCGCACATAACGCCCCATCCTTCACGGCCATCCGTGGTCCTTTAGGTCCTCAACCGGGATAAGTTTACTAATCCCTGCTTGCGGTCTCTCTCTCTCTCTCTCTCTCTCTCTCTCTCTCTCTCTCTCTCACACACACMCACACCCACACACCCACACACAAAGAGCCCATCGATCAAAAAAATGGGCCGTAAACGAGCGCCGTGGTTGGTACCTTGTAGATGAGCAGGCAGATACGACTACCGGGAAATCAACCCGAAGACAATCGCTGAGCAGGAATGCTCCCAACCAACGACACGCAGCATCTCTAGTACGCAACGGAGCTTCCACCCAACGACCACAAATACACGCATACAAAGCTCCCACCACTTCTGCCGGGCTTTACGAGTGGGTTGCTCGCTATCCGACAGAGGACCGTGGGAGGCTTCTACTAAAAACTAAGCCACCGTGGGAGGCTTCTACTAAAAACTAAGCCGCGAATAGATAATCCTCCGCTTGTTGATAATGCCTTAAACCACTAGCACCTCCGCCAGTCGGGAAATAGGAAGGCCTCGGGTAGCCTCTCCGATCGTTTAGCATGCCAAAACCAAACGGCGGCCGATGAGATTTACCAAGAGCAGGCCGTGACCGACGTCACACCCTGCCCCCGATATTTTGGAGTTTTCCCGATACTGGCAGAGGTACTAGTGCCTTAACTGCAATGATTTGAGAACGGCGATGATTCATTAAAAAAAAAAAAAAAGGCCCGTGGAGAAGAGATGAACGTCCTTGAAAAACATCAAGAGAATCCAACAATTCTAACAGAAAAATATTTATTAATAATCAATTAAAAAGAGTACGACACTCCTGCAAATAAAACAGGGCAGGGGAGGAGGGGAAACGAGAGCCAGAAAGCGCCGGCGAAAAAAAACAGAAAAGACAAACAGAAGCGCCAGGAGTGGAAGAGGAAAGAGCGCGACAAAGCGCAACACAGAAAAAGTGGCCAGGCAGAGGACAAAGCCGGGAGAAAGAGCGAGAAGGGGGAGAGGGAGAGGAAAGGTCCAGGAGAGAGAGGAGGGAAACTGGAGGGAGACAGGAAGTAGAGGAGGAAGAGGAAGAGGAGGAAGGAAGAGGAAGAAGAGGATGAAGGAAGAAGGTCCGGGAGAAAGAGCGAGAAGGGGGAGAGGGAGAGGAAACGTCCAGGAGAGAGAGGAGGGAGACTGGAGGGAGACAAAGGAGAGGAGGAAAAGGAAGAGGAAGAAGAGAAGAGGGAGAGGGAGAGGAGGGAAGGAGGGAGAGAAGGGAGAGAAGGGAGAGAATGGAGAAGGGAGAGGAGGAAGAAGTGAGAGGTGGTGAAGCAGGCGGGGAAGCGAGGAGGGAGAAGAGAACAGCAAGCGACTGGTCTCGCATTGTGCATTGCTGCCGAGCTGAATTGCACCCTTTAAGAGCAGACGCACATGCTACCTTCCCCGCACATACCGCCCCATCATAACGGTATTTGGACCTGAAAAGGGTTCGTATACATTCATGATGATGGGGAGCTCTGTTCGTGGGAATAGAGACAGTCATGCCCGTTCTAGTCGCACCCCCCAGCTGGCTTAATACACAAACCGACTCCCTCTTTACCTTTCTGGCTTTCCAACCGTTCAATTCGCGGGCCCAGTGCCCAAGGCTGGAACATCAACACATGTGAGATCCAAGCGAGACCATTAGCTACCCACCCACACCCGAGGTAGAGCATGGCAACCATCACCTTTCTTTCGAAATCCGATAACGAGAGCGCGCATCCAATGTTAGTCGACAATAGTCCCTCACATCTCTTAGATTTCTGCATAGCAATCCCAAACCATCAGTAGCAATCTCAGCGCCTGAGAGCAAAATACCTAGCCTACGACCTGAAGGCAGTGGCAATCAAACAAGTAGAGCACAACCCTCACTTTCCTTATTTCACCGGGCGGCGTGGTAGAGACGAACGGAGCAAAAACCCCACCTCCCTCGCTCTTCCTCCCCCTTTTCGTCTTCACCCACGCTTCCCTCTCTTCCCCACTCAACGATCGAAGCGGTCCCCACCAAAACCTAAACGAACCAACTTCGACCTCGCTCTCCCAGTCCCATCAACCAATATCCAGTCCGTATACAATGCACAGAGTTCCATCAGCCAATATCCAGCCCGTATACAATGCATGACAGAGCACTCATCTGCCACAATACAAAACTGACCGTACTTGAGGGCGAATAAGGCTTCAATCTGCCTCGGCCAGGTATCGAAACTTCAACGAAAGAACGCAGAAACTTCAACGGCGGGAAACCGCAGTCCATCATCAGGATTTTGAGGGCCATTATCCCAACCACGCGACAGCTGACAGCTTGAAACCCCGTGTAGAGTATGCTTCCAGCCAGACTCACTAATCAATCAATCAATCAATCAATCTCGATACACAAAAAGGACGCTGAAGAAAAATGTGAATGCGAGACCTAAGAACGAAAGCACGAGAGCCGCGTGCTAGCCGCACAGGCTCATCTAACAGCATTGCGAATTGCGTACAGAGAGACATTAGGGGAGAGAAAGGAATGACGAGAAAAGAGGAAGGGCGAAAAGGGAGGTGACCAGACGCGAGCAATTCGTCAGGCAGCGCCAGAAAGATACCAAGTAACCGTGGAATGAAATGCCGTACGTACTCAACATTCAGATGGTATCCCAACGCGCAGTCATCGTTGAGGGGGGTAGGTAGGGAGCCACCGCACAGAGGCTTGCCTCAGTGAGGCGAGGCGCCCCACCACCAACCTCAGCCGCCGCACATGGAGCGCCAAATGGCCTTACCCATCTTCTTCCCGCCCGCCCCCTACAGACGTCCCTGTCCATCGTTAAATACACTACGCATCATCTATGATGGCGAGAGGACACCCATAGCAGAAGAAAGAATGGTCCAGAGAACAAGGCAACTAACAATTCAAAGATCGGAGCGACGAGAGGAAGAAGAGCTAAAAAAACTAAAGAGCGACGAGAGGAAGAAGAGCTAAAAAAACTAAGTTACGACGCTACAGTTGGGTTTATCTACGGTGTGTTGTGTGAGGACGACAGGTAGAACAACGGTGGAGAAGGACTATAACGACTATTCAACGACGAGAAATGGGGGGAGGGGAAGAAAGAAAGAATGCGATTTAAGATACCAGAGCAGGGGCCTCATCAAGAGCAGCAACACCAGGGAGAACCTTGCCCTCAAGAAGCTCCAAGCTAGCGCCTCCGCCAGTGGAGATATGGCTGATCTGCTCAGCCACGCCAACCTTCTCCACAGCCGCGACGGAATCTCCTCCCCCCACAATGGTGATCACACCGTTCTTCCCCAAGTCAGCGAGCTTCCTGGCTATGGATTCCGTGCCGACGGCAAACTTATCGAACTCGAACACTCCAGCTGGGCCGTTCCAAATGACGGTCTTCGCTTGCTCCAAGGCCTTATTGAACGTAGCCGTCGAGTCTGGGCCAATATCCAGACCCATCCAGCCATCGGGAATGGCATCGGCCGCCACAATCTGGCTGTTGGCGTCGGGGGAGAACTTGTCCGCGATCACGACATCGGAGGGGAGCATGAGTTCCACGCCCTTCTCCTTCGCCTGTGCCATCAACGTCTTCGCCAGCTCCAGCTTGTCCTCCTCCACAAGCGACGAGCCCACCTTGAGTCCCTGCGCCTTGTAGAAGGTGAAGATCATTCCTCCTCCCAGGATGAGCTTGTCACACTTGGCCAGCAGCGACTCGATGACGCCGATTTTCGACGACACCTTCGACCCACCGACGATGGCCACGAAAGGACGAGCGGGGTCCTTGACCTTGCCCTCGAGGTAGTCCAGCTCCTTCTGTAGAAGGAAGCCAGCGACCGACGGCCTGAGGAAGGCGGTCACTCCCTCCGTAGAGCTGTGAGCCCTGTGCGCGGTACCGAAGGCGTCATTGACGTACAGGTCCGCGTTCGCCGCCAGCTTCTTCGAGAACTCCGGGTCGTTCTTCGTCTCCTCAGGGTAGAATCTCACGTTCTCCAACAGCACAACGCCGCCATTAGGAATCTCGGCGACCTTCTTAGCGACCTCATCGCCGACGCAGTCATCAGCCTTGACCACCTGGATGCCGAGGAGCTCGGACAACCTGCCCACCAGAGGGGTGAGGCGATACTTCTCGGTGACGCCCTTGGGCCTGCCCAAGTGGGTGGAGAGGAGAACCTTGGCCCCGCGCTCCATCAAGTACTTAACCGTGGGGACGGCGGCGCGAATCCTGGTGTCATCGGTGATGTTGAAGTTGTCATCGAGGGGTACGTTCAAGTCAGCGCGCACGAGCACGCGCTTGCCCTCAAGGTCGGCCTTGGTCAAATCTCCGACGCTCCTCTTCACCATGGTGACAACTCCCCGACGACCGCCCTGGGAAGAAGAAAGACGGACCTGCCCGACCTGGGAAGCGACGGTGGAGTGAAGGGTGGCCTGCGAGTCGAAGAGATTGCCGAACTTCTCAACCACGCCCCGCGCGGCCAAGAAGCCCTTGTAGGTGGTAGAGATCTTCGAGGAGGAGGAGGAGGAGGCGGAGGGAGAGTGTTTGCAACAGACCACCGGTGCGTGGGACGAGGACGATGGAAGTGCCCTCGACGACTGCCTTGACAAGGATTTAGAGGCTGCTGAAGACGAAGCCGGCCCAGCCACCACCGCGCCCAGGCGCAGGGACGACGTCGAAGCTGCTGCTGCCATCCTGGGAAGAGTCCGGAGGGAGGAAAATAATCGGGGGGGGGGGGGGGGAGGGAGGCAGCGCGCGCGTGGCGGGGCGGGAGAGGCAGGGCTGGCTCAGCACGGACGAATGTCGCCAAAAGGGGGGGTCACACGCACAATAATGCGTAGGACGAACGCCTAAACTACCCGGTGGCCTCCGGTGGGGTGGTGTTGGCGACAAGGGGGGGGGGTTGGGGGCGCAGGGGGGGAGGCAGGGGGGAAATGAGGGAAAGCCCTGGCTCCCGTGCATGCACCCCGCGCGCTGATGTAACTGCTGCTGCTGCCACTGCTGCTCCCGCGTTTGTGGTGTATGTGCGTGGCTTGCCTCCCGCTGCGAGAGCTACGGCAGCAGCAGCACCCGCCCCGCAGCACTGCTCAGCGCGAGAAGATGGTAGATGGCGACCAGCAATTAGTGGCCAGCCGTGAAATGGATGGAGGAGACGCATTTGTGGAGGGGAGTGGAGGTGAGCATGACCAGCCCAGAGCGACCAACAGGAAACGACAAGTCGACCGCAGGCTTATCACAACGGCGGAAACACGCTGTGGAGGGACAGATCCATAATCCTTGGCTGGTGTGCGGCACGATCGAGGGAGCTCCGGTAGCCCATGGTTCTTTTTTTTTTTTTTTTTTTTTTT